GGATGATTAATAATGAATAGGGGGTTTAGTTTTAGCTTCGATATGGGCTTTAAGAAAAGGAGGAGGAGGGGGCGTAGGTCAGACTGATGGTAGGCAGTATCAGGATCATGTAGATCTAAAGCAATACTTACAAGCCAAATGTACTGAGACGTCAGCCCGCATGCGATGATCGTCGGGTGTGAATCATGTGATGCAGAATGTCACCTACATAACAAATACGGCTCACGGTCTCCATCTTCTTGGGATACTTGGTCTGTTCTATCTCTCGATTCGAGCTTGGTTCGACGTTGGTTTGCTGCTGTTTACCTACTCGTGGTCTGTATCGATCTCGAGTTTTCAAGATGGCATCGTCATATATCAATATCGGTCTCCCGACGTCCATCTTGCTTGCCGTGGCGTCCCTGGGCGTCGACGCCGCGTTCAAACCGCCAATCAATAATACGTTGGAGCAGAGTGTTGAGACCGAGTGCAAGACCTGTCCGTATTCGCTGTGTACGAATAAGGCGTTCTACGAGTATGATACCCAGGTCTCGCTTGTGTGTTGGACGACTGGTGCTGAGATTGACGGAGATACGTATGTTGAGCTTCTTCATCGTTCTCGCAGCGACAGGCTGTCTCTGAACGCTTTGCGTGCAAGTGCTAAAGCAAGAATAGGACGTGGTTGAGAACTTCGGACGATTGCTACGTTACCGAGTATGACTTGATGGATATCTCACCTGTTGATTGTGAGTCCCATCTCTCTGTATGCGAGGATATGCGCGGAGATGACTGACTGACTGACTGACTGACTGGCTGGCTGGCTCCTGTGATAGACCAGACTGCACTCTCATACTGTGGCTCCGCATCCGAAGAGCTGCTTCTCACATATGACAACGCAACCGTGAAGTACGACGCCGAGTGTAACATCTGCCCCGACAACGCCTCATGCGAGACTATCAAGTACTTGAGGCCCGGAACAAACGTAACAGTTACGTGCTGGACGGCCGATGGAGAAGCCGTCATCGGCGACACGTAAGAACCGTTCCCATCCGCGTCATTAAACCCTCCCAGGTGGAATGGATACATCCTGAGGGAACGAAAAGAAAGAAAGTCTGACGAGAAACGTCCCAGCACCTGGCTCAAGACCACTGACAACTGCTACGTCAACGAGCTCCACCTGACCGAGCCCGCCAACAGAACCGTCCTTGACAACTGCGGCCCCATCGGCTTCGTGCAAGTCCGCCAGACCGACAACACGGCAGGAGTAGCAGCCTCCTCTGCCGCCGCCCCAGCCAACGAACCCATGCCCGAACCCGTGTCGTCGTCCACGAGTACCGTCAGAGACAGACGACACTCCCCGGCCCGCGCCCCAACTCCGATCCCGGAGCTGCCGCTCGCAGAAGCAGCAGGCTCAGAGTCGGCGCTGCACAAGAGGTATCTGATCAACATCACCGTGGGAGCCGACTCTGCCGCGTGCCACTCGGCGACGGCGTCGACGTCAGCGGTCGAGACGCGGTACCCGCTCGACGCCGTCGTGTGGATGCAGTGCTACGCCACCTCCAACGACTCGTCGACGACGATGGACCGTGCCGAGCAGTACTGGTATCTGACGACGGACTTTTGCTACGTCCGGGAGGAGGACTTTCGGGAGAGCTTGTTCGATCGTGAGTTGCTCCTTCTCTAAATCGATCGGTGAGGAAGGAGACGTGGATGAAGTGTGTGCTGATTACTTACTTGGCTCGAATCATGTAGAATATAGGTTCCCGCGATGCTCGTTGTTTGAATGAATCGGTGTCTGGGATGGGATCAGTTACGAAGTTACGTAGGTTGGGAGGTAGATCCGACTGTGGAGAACTGAAGTGCCAGCCAGGGCTGTAAGTAAGTAAACCAAGGGAAGCAAGATTTTGCTGCATGGAACTCATACGGGCATATATATATATAAATATAGCTAAAATCGTAAGTGAAGTCACCACCAACTCCCACCACCACCATCAGATATCGAATCCCCCTCCCCCCATCCCAAAAAAATAAAATTAAAAATTCAAAAAATTCAAAAAACAAACAAAAATCCAAAAATCCAACAAAACTCAACTGGAAGCTCAAATCCATGGGAAGCGGGATTAAGAGGTTCCAGTCTACAAACCTAACTGAATAGGTTTTGTCGTTGGGGGTTTTTATCAAACAGGTGTACTTGGAAGCGGCCAGCAGGCTCATAGCCACTAAACCACCATGCCATTCCTCGCTGTTGATGGGTGGGGGAGGGGGGTGGGGTTGTATGAGGGAGAGGTGAATTTTTTTGGGGGGGATGGGGGGGGATGGAAGTGGGGATGGGAGGAGGGGAAGGGAGGGGGACTTGGATTTGGAAAGGAAGGAAAGAAGAATGAATGAAAAGAGTCTATTTAACACAGGAGTTTTTTTTTCGTTTTTTTTCGAAATTGCTGATTTCGAGATCCCTCTCTTTTTTTTTTTTCTTTTCTTTTCCTTTCTTTTTCGTAATATGAACGAAGTGGAATTGCTGGAGCTGTATTGTTACTTGTAAGGGGTTTAATAGTAATAATAAAGCGAAAGAAAATAAAATAAAATAAAATAAAAAATAAGATAACATACTTATATACATACCAAGCATACCATACATAGCATACCATACATAGCATACCTTTTCTACCTCCCCCCCCCCCCCCCGACGACGACGAAGAAGAAGAAAAAGGAAGAATGATTGGGATTGGTGATTAATTGATTAATTAATTGATCTACCGGTCGGTATTATAAAAGATATGTATATACGGTATGTACGTAGGTATTTACGTATATATAATACAATACAAAAATATAATACAATACAAAACAATACAATAAAGTATAACATAATACAGCACACCACAGCACAACACAGCACACCACAAAGTATCTATCTATCTATCTATCTATCTATCTATCTATCTACCTTTCTCTTCTTCTCCCTCTTCGAAACTTTTATCTTTATACTCTACACTCTACACTCTCCAACAAGCCCTTCGCTTCGCAGTAGTCGTGGCTTGGGACAAAGCCGTGCGTACTTTATACTTTGTCCTTTGTCCTTCAACAGCGAGTAAGTAAAACGGATAAAGAAAAAAGGTAGTAAAGTACCTATCCAAACGGTTTACAGTTTACAGTTTACAGTTTACAGTTCACAGTTCACAGTTCACAATCCAGCCGCCCCTCTCCAAACAAACCATCTAATTCTCTTCCTTTCTAAGAATTTCAAGAAAAGGTCGTTGCTTAGCTTTAGCTTCAGCTTTAGCGTTAGCTTTAGCTTTAAAAATAAATTAATAAGTAGATAAGCTATCCGTTATTACCATAAGACTTAAAGTGTGATTGATTGTGTTTATAAAGTAGACAGATAATTAAGATAATTGGTTGGTTACAGTAAGTGATCTGGATCGCAGGCCGCGGCTGAAGAGGGAAGGAAGGGTTTTGAATCGATTGAGTCCGTCTTGTATCAAGGGGTTTTTTTTCCTTTTTTTCTTATTTTTTTTCCCTTTCCCTTTCCCTTTCCTTTCCCATTTTTTTTTTTTTTAATAATAAAAAGACCGGACCGGACCGGACCGGAGCGGATCGGATCGGGACCCTTCTTACCCTACCCTCTAGTCAAGAGCTGATGTTGATTGATGAGTAAATAGCGTGATTGCTTGCTCCGTATTATCTCCCGGTCTCTTGCATCCTTTCTTTCGCCTTTGCTCTCCCCTCCC